TCTCTCTCTCTCTCTCACACACACACACACACACACAGAGGATTGAACACAGGGCCTATGCAATGACCTACAACCCCAGCAAATTTTTAATTTTTTTTATCTTGGGACAGAGTCATAATAAATTGCCCCAGTTAGGCTCAAACACACTCCTGCCTCAGCCTCTCAGAGGGCTGGGATTACAGGTGTGCACCACCACATCCAGCTCAATCTTAATATATATGAGTTCCTACAACTCCATAAGAAAAAGAAAAACATATGTTAAGATGCAAATGGCAATTTCAAAACTAGTAAACAGAAAATGCTGGCTCTCAGTCATAATTAAGGAAATAGAAATTTAAAATAATATATTATTCACCTCCTTAAAATGTAGGTGAAAACGGGTACTCATCTTCTTGACATTATTTACACAACATTTCTATTTCCAACAACATATACAAAACTATTAGATCAGGATACAAAGCTGTTCATATGAAATTCACTGCAGCTCTTAAAAGCCAAAAACAACCTAAATATTTAACAACAGGAGGCTAATTAAATATATCATGGCATATCCATGGATTTTCAGGCAGCTTTTAAAAGAACACAGATTCGTATTTAATGTGGAAAGCTATTAAAACATTTTTATTAAATAAAGGTTTCTAAACAACACATATAGTATAAACCTGTTTGTTTTCAAAAAGACTAGCGTGTTACATATCAGAAGGTTAGTACTGGCTATTTACAATGAACACATCTCTCACAGCCAAAGAAAAAAGCTTTTAAATTTAAGTACAGCGGGGGATGATGGTACACAGCTATAATTCCAGCACTCAGGAAGCTGAGGCAGGAGGATTGCTGTGAGTTCAAAGCCAGCTTGGGCTACATAGTGAGTTCAAAGCCACCATGAACTACATAGTGAGACCCTGTCTCAAAAAAAACAAAAGACTAACAAAAAAAGGAACAAAGGTAAACAACGTGTAGAAAGAAGTGTAAAAAGTAAAATACACTACATGTAAAATTAACAAAAATATGACTACAGAATACAAAATCCTTTTTGACCGAGATGAAACAAATGCAAAGAATTAAAGACAGTTCTGGGGCTGGGGATTTAGCTCAGCGGCAAAAGCGCCTGCCTGGCAAGCGCAAGGTCGTGAGTTCGGTTCCTGGTACCGGGAGAAAAACCAAAAAAACAAAACAAAACAAAAGACAGTTCCACTTCCAAATGTAGGAGGAAAAAAAGATTGAAGATGATGCAAAGAAAACAGAAAATTCACATCACATAATCTCAAACATTGCTGAAGGAAGCAAGGTTGTCTGTTAGTCCCTGAGGAGAATGAAAAGGCAAAGGAGAACGTAAGGTAACTTGCTGATGAGAAAATGAATGGAAAAAGAGCTAATACACAAATATCAGGAAAAACAAATAGGTAACAGTCACTACAGCACACAGTTCTGGGAGGTGTGGGCTACAGACAGAAGTAGAAAAAGCAGTAATATTTACAGGTTAAGAATTCATCAGTTGGGGCTGGGGATTTAGCTCAGCGGCACAGTACCTGCCTGGCAAGCGGGAGGTCGTGAGTTCGATTCCTGGTACCAGAAAAAAGTGGAAAAAAAAAGGAAAAAAGAATTAATCAGCTATATCCATCAAAGGTCAAGGAAAGGAGGGAAGAGTCCCAGCACTTTAAGAAGCTGAGACAGAAAGATCACAAGTTTGAGCCCAAGTTGGGCAATTTAGCAAGACACCATCTCAAAATGAATAAAAAGGGCTGGGGATATAGGTCAGTGCTAACACCCTGAACTGACTCCCCAGTATAGCACCAAAAAAAAAAAAGAGAGAGAGAAGAGAATACATGTAGCACTAGTACAGTTAGAATATGAACTAGAGAGATCAAGGTTGAAAAGAAGGCCTGGGAGGGACCAGAGATGAAAGGACAAAGAACTGTTTCACCAGGTATCATGGAAAAGAGAAACAGCAAGGGAGCCTTTATCACTGTCTGGCCACAGGAGTTAAGACTTGAGGCAGTAGAGTGGTTCTGAATGTCGAGGTTAAGTTATACATGCAGGTTGTGGATACACAGAAGAGGTGAAGCTCACTGGAGTTAGTGAACCCTAGATTCAATGGTCTTTCTGGCCGGAAATAAATGTAACTGTTATTTAATCTCTACATACTTCACTTTCTTCACTTGCAAATACATCCTTTACAGGAATCTAGCTGACACTTAACCTCTACATTTTACTCAACCACAAAATGAACAAAATAAAAAGGGGGAGTTAAATCAAAGGTTCTTCACCCTGCCCTGCACACTAAATTCATGAGTGCTAAAGAAAAAAAGGCTAAACTACCTATGCTCTGACCCAAAAAATTCTAATTTATTTGTTCCAGGGTACACTGTAGGCAGCCATGGTTTTTAGAAGCTCCTCAGGAAATTCTAATGCCCTGCCAAGGTTGAGAACTGAACTAAGTACTTTGTTTGTTTGCTTTGTTTTTCTTCTGGTATCAGGAACCGAACTCATGACCTTGCGCTTGCAATCCCCAGCCCTGAACTAGGTATTTTAAGGGTGCTTCCTTTTTATTTGTCTTTTTGAGGCAGGGTCTTGCTATGCAGTTCAGGCTGGCCTTTAGCTCACTTTTGTAGCTCAGGCTGGTCTGGAACTCACAAGGATCCTCCTGCCTCAGCCTCCCAAGTGCTGGGATTATAGGCGTGCACCATCATGCCCAGCTTGTTTCCCTTCTAGAATTTAAAATTCTGTGATTCTTCACACCCTGTTCATTTGTTAAAATAATACTATCAAGCGTCAGGCACTTCCACAAACATCTTAGCAAATCTTCACAACCTCATGACACAAATACTTCTGTGTCTGTTTCACAAATCTTTCCAATGAAGCTCGGAGAAGTTAAGCTCAAGAATTAAAAGCCAGCAAGGGGCAGAAGCCAGGGTTTTCAGTTTATTTGTTGCAGTCCACCCTATACACACTTGCTTTCTCTTCTTAGTACACTCAAAGCAACTATCTGAATGCCTTTCATTTTCTCCCTAGGACCTTCCCATATCACGCACACTGGCATATGGTTTACAGACTGACTAGGAGAAACTTACTCTGGGTGAGGGCTGGAAATTAATCCCAAATTCTACAATTCACAGAATTGCAAAAAAATTTAACCTGGAGAGATCTTGCAATTTAAATTAGCACCTAGGAAATCACACCTATTTAAGTATTTTTTTATCCAGTTAATCAGCATGCACAGAGCTATTAAGCAGGCAGCTCAAGTACAAAGCCAGTTCTCAATCGATAGAAAAGCAACTTCTATATGCCTTCCATTAAGCAAAACATTCTAAAAATTGTAGGACAGTTCTGGAAAAGAAAAAAAAAAAAAAAAAGCTAGGACAATAATGAGATTTGTACTATAAAGTGCCTAAACATATAAAAATGACCTTAAAAATTTTCAAGCATTAATATTTCCATCAAAGTGGAAAGTTCCAATCATTTAAAAACTACAATAATCCTTTCGGAGATCAGCTGTTCATTCAGTCATAATACTTCAGTTTATTGATCTACTCGGAAATTTCAAAAATATTCCAGTTCTGTACACTCAGGCCAAAATTCATTGAGTTATCAAGGTAAATTCTTGGTGGGGATTTATCGGTGGACTTATGGGAGTCCATGGCATGTAACATGGAAAAAGACTACAGAGAGGAGATTCAACAACTGTACCTATGGAATTTATAAGAAATTCATGAAACACATTTACAAGAAACAAACATATGTGTGCTCATCTATTCCAATCTTTCCTGAGCATCTGCTGTGTTCTCAGCTTCCTAGGGATGAGCAGGCAATTCAGACCCCAATGTGATGCCTGCCGTCAATCAAGGAGGTGTTACTACAGATTCACGCAATGCTTTCAGTGAATCCATTACTGAGGACAGAAAGAGAGTGAAGAGGAAGACCAGGGTGGAAATATTTTAACCAGTATAGATAAAAGTACTTTTAAGGAGAAAAACTTTTAACACAAAAACCCTTCTAAATCAGCTCTCTAGGAAACAAGTATACTTAACAATTAAATTCAAACCGAAAAGAGCAGTGTTAAGATCAAATAAGGAGAACAGAGACAGCTCCACCGGAATGAGTTAGAAACACACTTCTGCTACAGGGACAACGAGAACGCTTTAGAGTCACAAGAACTCGAGTTAAACACCAGCTTAGCTGCTAAATCTGTGAAATGAAGTCAATTCATCTCTAAGTAACTCCTGGTTAACAAAAATAAATATGTCGAAGGCAACTAAATTAAAAATGGGATTTTTAAGAGCTAAGGAAATTGGTAATCAGATCTAAGCAGGTGTATTTTTACCTATTATGGAGTAGAAAGCGAAGTTCTCCAAGTCTTGGTTTTGGGTTTACCGTATCTGTGGTTGCAAACCTTTTTTCAGCACACTTAACAGACTTTTAAGGTTAAGGTGGCTTTATTCAAAAAATAATAATTTATATTCATTTACTTGGGTAATTCATGCTGAAATCTTATTTTAGTCAGTACACCACTTTTCTTTTTTGAGGCGATTACATGTGCTTTCCAAATAAGTAACTTAACGCCATTCACCTTCCAGGGCTGTCACGATCCGAAGCGATTAAAAATAGAAGCCTTTGTTAATACTGAATTAACCTGAGGACCCCGCGGGCGACGGGAGCGGAGTTAAAGGGAAACGCTCGGCTCAGGGCAGCCGCGCGCCTGGGAGGAACCAGAGGGGGAAACTGCGGAACGCCAGGCTCACGCTGCCTTCCTCTTAAGGGGATGCGTGCCCGCGAGCCGCGGTCAACGTCCGCACCGGCAGCTTCCCCTACCGAGTCTTCCCGGCAGAGCAACGAGACGGAGCGAGGAGTCCGGGGTCTCGGAGCCCGGCAGCGGCAGCCCCGGCCCGTCCCCGCCGCCCCGCCGGCACGCAGGGCTCCCGGGCTCGCGGCCTCCGATTACACCCCGCGCCGAAAAGCACATTCGCCAAAAGGCGGAAACTTTCAAAAGCCCCCGAGCGCACCGCCAGAGCCGTCGCCCTCCGAGAGGCGCTCCCGCGGGGCCATGATCCCCGCTCACAGCACACGCGCCGTCCAAGTTACGCGCCAGCGTCCCCGCCGACGCCG